AATCGCATTATGGATGTCACAAATGTCAAATTGTATACAAATGGTACGAACAATCAATATTAGATGTGATTGAATTAATAAAAATAGAGAAGATTAAAGGAGAAAGTATACCGCCTTGCGGTATGCCAGAAATCAGGTCCACCCACTGTGAAGTGATTTGCTGTCGACGTGGACAGACTGTTGACGTCAGCGAAGATAAGCTGAGAACCATTCCAGGACTGACGGTGCAAACCTTTAATAAGAAAGGATAGCAAGATGGATATCATGGTCAACTGTGTTAAAAGCGTTAGAAAAGTCAACGAGCACCACAACTGTAACTTTCTTGTTTTCCATTCCTTCTCTAATATGTTCACTTATTTTAAGTAAGGCAGTTATATTTATATATGAAATTGGTAATTTGCTTATGAACACAGGCTTCCAGAACTTTAGAGAGGAAAGGTAAAACTGATATGGGGCGAAAATGGTTGGGAAGTATAGGATTGGATACTTTAGGAAGGGTTCTTACGAAAGCCTTTTTCACTGACTCGGAAACTGACCCGAGTCAAGCGAAAAATTAAGAATATGTGTAATTGCGGGGAGAATGTGTTCTAGAATATTAATAATCATGGCTCTACTAATATCATCGCAACCGACAGCCTTGGATTTTATTGCCAGAAGAGTCTTTCTAATTTCATCCTGATCAACAGGGTTAAAATGAAAGACTGGTATGTGCGGAGACGGAATTGAAGCTATGTAAGCGACTGTTTGGGATCGGATTGAAAGTTCCAATGCAGAAGCAGAAGCAAAATGAAGATTTAAAGCATCGTGAGAAAGAGATAAACCACAATCCAAAGAAGGTGTTTTACCCACACCTAGAGAACTAAGGAATTTCCACACATCAGCTGGCGAAGAATTACTTATATTGCTCTGGATAAATCGGCGATTTGCAGAACATACCATCTGATTGCATGTTTCTGGCCTTCTTAAAAGACAACCAGTTTTACTCAGATCTACTTCTGTTGGACCAGGCAAAGGCTCTATTTCGCCTGGTCATGACCTTCCGTACCTCATCAGACATCCAGGGAGCTGGTGGACGTCGTAGTTTTACTTTACATACAGGAGCATGGTTATCATACGAAACATGAATTATGTTATTGAAAATAGTTACTTTATCATCTACAGTGGATGCAGTTTCTAATGGCGTAAAATCTATAAGCGATGCGTCTTTCAAAAGCTTATCCATATTAATTCTACTAAAATTACGTAAGAACAGTACAGTAGGTTGATATTTAGGAGGATTAAGGTTGTATGATACATATATAAGACCATGACGGGAAAATCCCGACGCTTCAAGTTGCCCATATGATAGCACCCTATCAGAGGAGTCAGCTATAATGAGATCAATCAGAGAGTCATCAGTGTCGATATTATGATGAGTTGCATTAAAAGGAAGAATGTTGAGATTGACAGACTCAATGACTTTACGATTTTTTTTAGTAATTTAGTTTTAAATGTTTAGTGCTTAAAACTAAATTAATAAGTAATCAAAACAAGTTAAAATATGTGTGCAAAACAAATTATGAAAAATAAAAATATATGAAGATTTTAGAAGAAAAGAAGAACAAGTCCAGTGCTGATCATGGTCCTCCTCTAAGAAATGCCTTAAGCACGGTTCTGAGCCTCCTGCATCCATCTACTTCCTCTTAATTACCAGGTCGTCACTTCATCTAAAATTTAATAAAATTGAATAATGCTTTATTAATGATTATAAAATAAAAATATTGGTAAATCCAATTGAGCATGCCCTAATCGAATTAAAAAAATTACGTATAACATTATTATACAGAATTTTTTAAAGTAGTTTAAATACACACAAGTTTTCACTAGAAACTCTATTATACTTCCAATTTTTAGATAATTTTATGTCAAAGTTCAATTTAAAAATAGTTTGGAAAATCCAAAAGTGCAAAACTCATAATGCTCATATGATCATCATTCATGTCACTCCATAAAGTCCAAGACGTATTTAAGTATAAATATTACATCCTACTTACTTTTAGTACGTACTATTATTATTTATTCTGTGCTTTTAAAATATTGTAATAAAAATCTTTGTTTATTATAATAATCAAGTATGTATGAAATTTGTTTTTCCAATATTTTGTATTTATTTGTACAGCGATCTTTTTGAGCCGCTACAAACAACCGATACAGTAAATTTTGACATTTAGCAGCCGAAAAAAATTAATTATAACTAAACAAAACAAAATTAAACTGCCATTTACATTCAATGGCTTCCCACATGATAAAATATTGAAATAGATTGAGTTGAACAATTGATATTTTCAAAAGTTATCGTGTTTACGAAGCCATACGAACTTGATAAATCCACGCCATAACCCCCTTTTTATGTAAAATTTGCAATTAATTGATTTAAAAAATATTAATAGGTTCAACAATCATTTATTTTTCTGACAATGAGATTTTTTAACATTTATATTTATAATATGATTGTTAGATAGGATTTCATGCGACAAAACGTTGGAATCTTGATTTTTAGGCGCTAGTAGAACATACCTACGCGTGTTGCGCTTACGTCATGCAATAATTAGTAATGAAAGTCATCTTTTTATTTTTACCAGTGCGGGGTATATCAATGTACTACACTTCGCTTTCCTATATGAGACTGCCACACGAGGAAGTTTCTTTCAATTGCAAGCAACACTTACATAATTTGTGCACTGTGCCATTAGCCCCACACCAATATATTACTAGCTTCTTCTAAGGACTGATTACCATAGTACAATTTTTCAATCATGATAATTGGGGTTTATTTTTCATCTACTTCACAATGTTTGCGATTAAAGGTGGGAGTCATAGACACGGGGATTTCACACTTATTTTTAAAAGAGTCACTAAAATTTCTGCTGTCATTCATAAATTGCACATGAACAAACATCTAGACCCAGGGCAATTATTTTTAGGCCATAGGCTTATTCGGTGTGGTATTTGAACTCGCGGCCCCTTAGCATCACAGCCATAGACTATTCAGATCTACAGAGCTATCCTGTTTTTCTTAAATGTTTAAAAACGCTAAAAAGTAACACAGTTGTACCGCGTAGTAGCGATTGAATCGAGTTTCAATTAAAGTTCTTAAAATTTTCTAATGATATGTAACATGATATTGAAAAACTGACACAGTTTTTTTTTTCATCGTCATCTTCATTACAGTCTATCTAAAGTTTTTTGCTATACGTAGGCCTTTTCATTAGAGTTTTTTTAACGAAAGAACCGTGGTAGATTTACGCTGTAACTATTATGGTCGTAGCATGAATGGCTCAAAGCTGCTGTAAACCCGTTTTACAGGAATCAAAGTATTGCATCTGGTCCTCACGGGTGAAAACGCATCTGCATTTTTATACTTAATCGAGAATAGATGTGTATGGAACACAGAATGTACTTACCATCAGGTGGACTGTGTGTTTGTTTGTCACCCTTATTCTATAAAATAATGGTATCCCTGGGCTTCAGTACCCACTTACCAATTGCTTCGTTAGTTACTTCAATTTTAGTATATTAAAAAAATGTCTGGAAAAGTCCTCAAACGCGAGAAAAAGTAAATAATTATTACCATATTAAGGTATAGGTTTGAAACTCGATAATAACACAGTCATTAGAGTTTATCTAACAAGTGGATGTATTACTATATTTTATAATAATTTCCATTATCGGATCCGGATAAGCAGTTGGATGTGTAATAGTGGTGTATGGTATCCACTATTAACAGACTCCGAGTGGTTTAGTGGCGGAGAAATGAAACTATTTTCTGTTATGCTTTACTATGTGTAGGCGAATGGAGTATTGAGTATTTATTTCAATCAACCCTACCTATATTTATATGCCCTGCTACGTCCGTAGTTTCCCAATAGTAATATTTTTTTATTTACTTAGCCAATTACAATTCATACATTTTGACCAATAAAGATTATTCAATAAAATATTATGTACAACTATTATATGTCGCGCTCCATTTGCCGGCGTAAGACTCGTGGATAGCTTACGAGAAGCTATCCACGAGTCTTGCTGCGTTGCTGGACGGGGCTATAAAATTGGTGCAGAACGGCGCGCGCGCGTAATCGGCGAGCGGTGGCGGCGTGGGACACATCTCCGGAACAGCAAGAAGAAGCGAAGCTGCGGCGTTGAAGAAACGGCTCGAAGATGGTCAACGGATGCATGAAAACAGCCGGCGTGTGAAGACTATGCGGCGCTAATGATTTTTGCGGCTGCTTCTTGTTTCTATATTAGAACGTTAAATATATACGTCAAATTATCTCGCATCGATATGCAGCCCGCAGTATCTCAGTAGCCGGGGGTATTTAGGAAATAAATGTTTTCTTCAGACCTTCGCCTTCTGTGTTATGGTAGTAGCAGGGTATACATTATTTATTACCGTTTAGGGTTGATTAACCTGGCTGCTACATCACTCTTCCCCTAGCGAAAGCGTACTGGAGGCTTGACGACTCGCCAATGTCTCATAGTTTTTAAAATAGGTTTCATCTGGGTTGATGTAGATGATGGGTTTTCTAGCTTCCTTGCTGATGGTTGAGATGATTATGATGATGATGATGAATCCTCTTAAGTATCCTCGTTAATAATATAAGCAGGCTTTAGTCGGTCGATCGATATAATTGTAGATTTCCTTCCGGGTATTTGTAATTTAAAAGTCTTGCTATTTCGCTCTAATACTTTATACAGTCCATCGTAGGTAGCTTGAAATTGTTTCTTCACTGCGTCATTTCTTACAAAAACTTGCTTGCATGTAAGGTTTTATTATAGAAATGGTAGGTAATTGTGGAAACTGTAATAACACGTTTGGAGAATAAACCAGTCAGCCGCGCAGTCCTGTGTTTGATTCACGCCTTTCCTTGGGTCTTTACACTGGCGACGAGTGGGTACCGCGAATATTATTTGGGGCGTGTAAACTATATACGTGACGAGTAAATTATATGTAAATAGGTACTATGCCGATCGGAAAACTTGAGCCGTTCAACATTCATGCTACACAGTGGCCGGAGTACATACGACGGGTAAAACAGTATATTATACTGAACGAAATTAAAGATGAACTGCAAGTACCTCTCTTAATAACTGTGGTTGGTGAGGCAACGTATTCTCTAATGTGTGATTTGTGCTCGCCGGTACATCCCGAATCAAAGACTTTCGAGGATTTGGTGCAATTGTTGACCGAACATTTTGAACCTCAGCGGTCGGAAATCGCCGAACGACACGTATTTCGGTTGCGCAGACAACGACCAAGCGAGTCACTTACGGAGTACCTGCATAATTTAAAACATCTCGCAACCACCTGTAACTTCGGGAAGGCGCTGGAGGAGAATCTACGAGATCAATTCGTGTCCGGCCTGGCGAGTGAAGCGATGCGATCGCGTATATTTGCCGAGAAAAATATCAAATACAAAGAGGCGGTCGAGCTGGCTCTGGCACTTGAGGCTGCAGAAAAGCACGCGGAGGTGAGCGCCGCCACAACAGCGATGGCGTCTACCTCGGCCTCTGGCTTGGGCGGCGAGGTGAGCGAGGGCTTGCACCGGGCGAGCGCGCAACGAGCAGGCGCACGCGGCGGCAGCGGCGGCGGCGCGGCGGCCTGCTGGCGCTGCGGCAAGCAGCACCGGTCAGATCAGTGTCGGTTTGCGCAATATAATTGTGATCAGTGCGGCCAACGGGGCCACCTTAAAGTAATGTGTAAAAAGGTGTTCAGTGAAATGCGCAGTGGGCTACGTACCGGAGCTCGATCGTGTGGTTGACCAAATTTGGTGAACCAGGTGGATACGGAAGAAGATGAGGACTTCTATAACATTAAGTTGTCGGCTAAAGGTACCAAACCATATTTCATTATAATTAATGTGGACGGTCATCGTCTAGAGTGTGAGGTCGATACGGGCAGCCGTATTTCGGCTATCAGTGCAGATTTTTATAAACGGTACTTTTCAAATAAATCATTAAATGTCGATAACCTAATATTACGTTGCTACTCGGGCTCCCGTATCGAATCGCTAGGTTACATTTATGTCGATGTACAACTGGGTGAGACTCGAGCTAAAAATTTACAACTGTATGTTATTAAAAACGGAGGCCGTCCTTTGTTAGGTCGAGCATGGATGCACGCTCTAAATATAAGGCAAATTAACTTTAATGAAATTGTTGATGATGCATTCACGAGTCAATTATTGACTGAGTTTCCGGAGGTGTTTTCTGATAAACTGGGTACTTGTAAAAAAACTATTCAATTAGAGCTGACGGATAAGGAACCCGTGTATGTTCGCGCGAGGCCCGTACCTCTCGCGTTGCGCGCGCGGGTTGAGCAAGAGCTTATACGTCTCGAGCGAGAGGGCACTATTTATCGCGTCGATCATTCCGAATATGGCACGCCGATAGTACCAGTTGTCAAGGAGTGTGGGGATATACGGATATGTGGGGATTACAAAATAACTATTAACCCTAAACTAAAACGGGACTATTATCCTCTGCCCAGGATTGAGGAATTATTTGCTTCCCTAAGTGGTGGAGTGAAATTTTCGAAAATTGACTTGAGACATTCATATCAACAAGTGTTACTGAGCAAAGATTCCCAACCATACACTGCAATAACGACACATATAGGAACATTCGTATATCGCCGCACTCCCTTCGGCTTATCCTGTATTCCCGAAAAGTTTCAAAAACTTATGGAAGAAACGCTGCGGGGTATCCCCGGGACAGTAGTATTTTTGGATGACATTTGTGTTACAGGCCCGAATGAAGAATTACATTTTAAAAATCTAAAAACGGTAATTGAACGGTTGCGTAATATGGGCTTAACAGTTAAAATGAATAAATGTAGTTTTTTACAACCCAGGGTTAAGTACCTAGGTTTTATAATAGACAAAAATGGGTTGCACCCGGATCCGGAAAAATTAGAGGCCATCTGCAACTCACCGACTCCTAGTAATATAACTCAGTTAAAAAGTTTCCTTGGATTATTAAATTACTACGGAAAATTTATTCAAAATTTAAGCGCTCTGTTACATCCTCTATATGAATTATTAAAAAAGGAAGTGAGTTGGAAATGGGACTCAAAGTGTGAGCGGGCCTTTGCAGAGGCTAAGCGAGTGTTAACGAGTGACCGGGTGCTGGCTCATTATGAGGAGGGGCGTCCGCTCGTGCTGGCAGTGGACAGCAGCGCGTACGGTTTGGGTGCGGTGCTCGCGCACCGCTACCCAGATGGCAGTGAAAGGCCTGTCAGCTGTGTTTCACGAACTCTGAACACAGCTGAACGTAATTATAGTCAATTAGATAAAGAAGCGCTAGCTATATTTTATGGGGTTACTAAACACCACCAGTATTTATACGGCAGGAGGTTCGTTTTGCGTACGGATCACCAGCCGCTGAGCTATATATTTGGGGTGCGAGGAGGTATACCACAAACTGCTGCGAGCCGCTTACAGCGCTGGGCAGCCCGTCTTGCAGCTTATGATTTTTCCGTAGAATTCGTGCCTTCAAAGAATAACGGGCCGGCAGATGCCTTATCTCGCCTGCCGTTGCCTCACGAGCGGGGCCTTACTACGTCAGTGAGTTATTTAAATATCGTAGAGGAGTGTATGCCCGTAGATTTTAAGGAAATTAGTTATGAAACAAAAAAAGATAATCTGTTATGTAAAATTTTAGGATATGTAATGTTCGGTTGGCCGCCCGAGGCGAGATGCGAAGAAGAAAAACCGTATTTTGCGCGTAAGAGCGAGATCACTACGGATCTCGGTTGCTTACTATTCAAGTATAGACTTATTATACCTCCAAAACTACGTACACGAGTTTTGGAGGAGATTCACGATGGCCACTTAGGTGTTAATAAAATGAAAAATTTGTCGAGAAACTACGTTTACTGGCCTAGTCTCGATAAGGATCTAGAGGAGGTATGTCGAAATTGCGAGCCATGCCGGGTGGTCCGCGACGCGCCACCGCACGCTTCGATTCACCCGTGGGAGTTTCCACTTCAGCCCTGGCATCGTATACATGCGGATTTCGCGGAATATGCTGGAAAAAAATATCTGGTCATAGTGGACGCTCACTCTAAATGGATTGAAGTGTCCACTATGAATAGTACAAATGCACAATCGACAATCGCAGCTTTCAGAGCCACCTTTTCCAGATTCGGGCTTCCTTCGCAACTCGTCACGGACAACGGTCCACCTTTTTTATCGCACGATTTCAAAAATTACTGTAATATGAATTGTATCAAACATGTTACCACGGCACCCTACAGACCACAAGGTAATGGCGCCGCGGAAAATGCTGTCAAAACAATTAAAAAAGTTATTAAAAGGGCGGTTCACGAAGGTAAAAATGTGACACAGGCTATCAACATATTTTTATTTAAGTATCGGAATTGCGAACACGCGAGTACAGGAGTGCCTCCCGCGGTCGCCTTGCTCGGGCGGCGGCTGCGCGGGCGCTTGGACGCGATGCGCCCGGACGTTGCAAGCGTCGCGCGCGCCGCGCAGCAGCGCCAGGCGGCCGCGGCCGGCGGCACTCACCGCGACCACGACCTACAACCCGGTGATCCCGTGCTGACTCGTGACTATACCGCGAGGGGAGAAAAGTGGGCCGAGGGTAAAGTCGTGTGTAAAACGGGCCCAGTCTCATGTAAGGTGAACATTGGAAAGGGAATTGAATTACGTAGGCATCTGGATCAAGTAATTCCAATAAAAAATAAAAATAGATATTCCTTAACGCGCACAAGTCAGACATCAAGGGAGGAGGAATCCCAGGGTGAAGATAGGAATGGTAATAAAACTGATGTGGTCTGTAGTGATGACGAGGGGGCTTGTTTCGAGGACGCGTCGGGTGGGCCGACAGCATCGAGGACACGCGCGTCAGCGCCCTTCTCTGAACCTATCCAGTCCCCGACACTGACGCCGCCCGGACCCGACGCGTCTTCGCGAGCTTTGCGTGCTTTTAACCGTAATAAGAGAAATGCAAAGATTTGAAGGGGGAAAATGTAAGATTTTATTATAGAAATGGTGGGTAATTGTGGAAACTGTAATAACACGTTTGGAGAATAAACCAGTCAGCCGCGCAGTCCTGTGTTTGATTGACGCCTTTCCTTGGGTCTTTACAGTTTTCAAATCTTGATGAATGAATATTATTTCCGTGCGATGATGTGTGTTTCGACGATAAGGCTTTGTTGATTGATTCTCGAAGTTCAGTTACAAAATCGTAATTCATTTCTTGGTTATTTCACGATGTTGAAGTGAAGAAGTCACACGGTAGTCTTATACTGCAGCCGTAGGTTAGCTGAGCGGCGCTAAGACTAGTGCCTGCACGCGGTGTTGCTCGTAGTTCAAGTAGCACTGTAGGTAGCGAATCAATCCACTTTGTATGTTGAGATAAACGAGTTTTGAGTTCGGTCTTCAATGTACGATGCCATCGTTCAACTATTCCGTTTGATTGAGGTTGGTATGCCATTGTATGTGTCTTCTGTATTCCCATAGTTTGAAGAAGTTTGAGGAATAGGTTGCTTTCGAAGTTTCTTCCTTGATCCGTTGTGATGGTTTTAGGTGATCCGAAACGAGTAATCCAATTTTCATAAATTATCTTCGCGCGGATTCAGCTGAAGTATCATCGGTAGGTATTGCTTCTGGCCACCTTACTGTTCTGTCGATCATTGTTACGAGGTAACGATGTCCTTGCGGTGAAGTAGGTAATGATCCAACGATGTCAACGTGCAGGTGTTCGAATCTCTCCGTAGGCGGAAATGGATCTAGGCTGATTGATGTATGCCTTTGTACTTTGCATTTTTGACATTGAATGCATTGCTTCGCCCAGTTGCCAACATCCACTTGTATTGAAGGCCAAAATAATTTTCCAGTGATTAGTTTTCTTGTTGCTCTAACACCTGGATGACTGATGTTGTGTAGTGCATTGAAGACTTCGCGACGACATTCTTCTGGTAGGTATGGTCGCATGGTTGACGTTGAGGCTTCACAGTAGACAGGTAGATGCGTCATTGGCATTGTAACTTGCTTGATGGACAAGTTACTTTGCTTCGATAGATATTTGATGTTGTCGCTATCTCTGTCTTGTGCTTTGGCGATCTTGTGATAGTCGATTGATGTAGGGCACGTTACACTGTCGATTGGTATGTGACTGAGTGCGTCGGCGACTATGTTGTCCTTTCCACTGATGTGACGTATATCGGTCGTGAATTCACTTATGAAAATGAGTTTTCTTGCTCGTCGTGGTGTTTCCGATAGTGATGGTTTCTTCTGAAGTACATATTTTAATGGCTTGTGGTCGGTAAAAACGATCAGGTTTCAACCCTCGAACGTTTTTTTGAAGTGTTTGATAGCCATGTAGATAGCGAGTACCTCTCGGTCGAGTGTACTGTAGTTACGTTGAGTATCGGAGGACTTCAACGAAAAATAGCCAAGCGGTTGCCATTTCCCATTGATGTATTGTTGAAGTACAGCTCCCGCTGAGAGATCGGGCGCGTCGCTGAAGATAGCAAGGGTTGCTTCGTGTGATGGGTGGGCGAGTAAAGCTGCATTTTGGATCGCAACTTTACAAGCTTCAAATGCCTTCGTGGGTTCATCGTTCCATCCGATTGACATTTTATCTTTTTTCTTCGTGTTGTGAAGGTAGGCGTGAAGTGGTGCTTGGATTTCAGCGGCTTTAGGTATGTGTTCCCTGTAAAAAATAATCATCCCAAGAAAACGCCTTAGTTCTTCGATTGTTTTAGGTTTCGCATAATCGATAATTGCTCTGACTTTTTAAGTAGGCGGTTTGATTCCTTCCTTGCTGACGGTGAAACCAAGAAATTGAAGTTCTTGTTGTCGAAATATGCATTTCGAAGGGTTAATTGTGATTCCATTGTCTTCTAATCGCTGTAGCACGGTGCATAGATGGGTTTCGTGCGTTTCTTTATCAGAGCTTGCAAAAAGGAGATCATCAATGAATGCGAAAATGAAATCCAGTCTATGAAGTACTTCGTGTATGAATCTTTGAAAGGTTTGGCCAGCGTTCTTCAATCCTGGAGTCATTTTTGGAAATTCGAATAATCCCATTGGGGTAATTATTGTTGTATTCTCTATGTCTTCATCGCGTACTTTTATTTGTTGGTAAGCTCAATTGAAATCGATGGTGGAGAATATAGTCTTGTCTAACAGTTGATGAGTGAACTCCTTGACTCGCGGTATTGGGTAGCGGTCAGGAGTGGTAATAGAATTCAATCTTCTGTAATCTCCACAAACTCGAAATGCTCCATTCTTCTTCGGTACAACGTGAAATGGTGATGACCAAGGGCTTTTGCTTGGACGGTATATTCCTTGCTCGATCATGTTTTCGAATACCTTTAGAATTGCTCGTATCGGTGTGGTGGGATTGGACGTGCACGGCACCCATGGTCACGGGCAAGACTGAGATGAGGAGGTAAAAAGTAAAATTATACGCGATAAAATTCGTAAAAATTAGTTTCATTCGATGTGTAGCCTTCGCGTAAATATAAGAAATCAAGCATCAAGTTGTTTTGTCTACGAATATATAAGTGACTTGAGACATTTTATTATCATCGATTGTTTACTAGCTTTAATTGCTACTAAAATGTGACGTACTCGTATTAAGATGTTGTCAAAAATGTGTTAACATATTCACATTCTATTTAAAGGATTATGGCCCAAGACGGACTCTTAGAAATGAAAAGAGTCCATCAACCTATAGAAAACTAGGGCCTAAGCAGTCTCACAGTATTTTATTAATTACTTTTCCTACCCTAAATAATCACAATAAAGTGAAAATAGTTTCCTCGACATACATTACCAAGGCCGAGGGTGGTTATTAACAAAGCATCAAAATATGCAAAAAACGTTTACTAAGGAAATCTTGACGTAAATTGAAATCGGAAATGGAACGCTTTGTGGAAACGCGGGCCATTTCATAAGCTTTATTGCTCTATTTTAACGTAGGGAAGTAATGACATATTTTTTTGTATTTTTTTTCTTTAAAGACACTCTTTAATTATCGTTATCTACAAAGTGTGTGTTAAATTGGATTATATTTTTCAAATTCTTGTGTAAAAAATAATTGTAATTAGTTTTCGCTCTAGAATAATAAAAATATAGTCTATCATATTCAAACAAAGTTGCGTATACAATGATAAGTAAGAGAATCAGGAGTTACCTTGTAAAATTCGTATCGATCGTCAATTCTAATGGGACGTAGTTATACAAAAATATTCCAACCCACAAGTCATTCAAAAATAAGTTAAATATACAGATCTAATTATTTTGAAATCTTCGCGAAGATGTAAAAATAAGTAGATCTGTATATTTAACTCATTTTAATTGTCACTCCCATGACTGACTTGAAATTGGCAAAATTCGAGAAGCCGAAAAGTAAAGAAGAAGAAGAAGAACTCATTTTTGATAGACTTCTGGGTTGGGTTGAATGGTAAGTATATCCTATGTCCAGCTGTAAACTATTAGATCTTTACCCTAATTGCGTTTTTGTAGAACTAGCCTCTTAGAAATGTAACAACTATGGTTTACTTGTAATTCTAAATGCTAATAAATGTATATTTAAGTCATTTTTTCCCTTTTCTTAATTAGTGTTTTTAAAAAAAAACCTTATCTCTATACTAGGGTTTTGTCTTGTGTTGTTAACATAGATAAATTGCACAAGGATTTGAATCTTCAAAATACTTCTTGCATGAGGGATTTTGACCTGCGGCCCTTAGCGCCGCAACTATGTATATACGTAATTACTCTAAGGCTGCAACTCAATGCTACGTCACTGCACCACGGAGTCGTCAAATTATCAATTTTTTATCAATCATATTTGTTTCTTTGTGTTTTGTTTTATCTGTTATATGAAAATACTAAAATTTAGGCACATCCATCCGTCCATTACACCTGCTCCTTCACTGCCAGCCGTATGAGGAATGTCGGATGGATGCAGGTGGCTCAGGACTGTCTTGTGGCTTTACTTGGGGGAGGTTTTTGTTCAGCAGGAGACTAATGAAGTGCTAAACGTCCACCGCTGAACATATGCCTCCCTCATAGATTGCCTCACAGGTGGGATGTTGCCAGTTGACACGCTTGGCGAGCGAGTTGTCAACCGCAGTTTTTATTTTCAATTTTATCAGGAAAATGATGCTGCCCATCACCTGTTTCAATTTCCCTCTGACGCCTCTTACGACATCAACGAGACGATATTTGAAAATATTTATATTTAATTTTTTATATAAAAATATTATTTAATTTCTCACATACAAAGCGGCAATTTCTGTTCTAATTAAAACGATTTAGGATTCGTATATTTTGTTTCCTAGTGTTGAAAATTATTACGAAAGCTCTAAAGAAGAAAAGGATTATTTAATAAAGAATCGCTTTTTTACGTAACCAAGGAGTCTAACCGGATAATTAAAAATAGCGGTTGTTTTATTCGCTTCGTTGAAGACTCGGCCTTTTTACAAACATTTCTTTCGTCCATTGTCTACCTACTACCATGGAAATACTTTTTTTTAATATTTGTTATGTAACTAAGACTGGACAGATTATCTGACTACTTTCAGTTCTAGAGTCAAAGCAAAGTTAAATGTATTCCACCCTTTCAGTACTAATTCCGACCGGCCTTCGTGTTGTCTATTTATATAATGTAACATCAAAGCCATAAGGATAAAAACGAGTGATTGTTTTTGTACCATATACAAGAATAAAAAGTTACAACATATATATGTCCCACTGCTAGGATACAGATCGCCTTTTACATCTGCAAGGGTTGTAGGGCATTAGGTCTACAGGTCTTCCCCAGTTCGTAAGGTGGACATCATATGTCCTTGAAATCATTTATGACTGTAAACGTGATTACTGTTTCAAATAAGGCAATAAGCTTACATCTACGGCGAATTTTTACCAAGTAAAAGTAACTAAACTTAGAGAATTTACTTAACACGTTTAAATAAAAATTTATTTAAAACTATCGATAAACACAT